TTTAATTCTAAGTTTTTAATCTTTCATACTTATTCAACCCCCCTTCTAAGTATTATCTCACCTTCACTCTGAACTATTATATATCTCTGTGTACCTTTCTCTCTTCCATTATCTCTCTCTCTCACACACTTTCTTTATCTCTCTCTCTCTCTCTCTCTCTCTCACACACACACACACACACACACACACTCTCTCTCTCTCTCTCTCTCTCTCTCTCACACACACACACACACACACACACACACACACACACACACACACACACACACACACACACACACACACATACACACACATACACACACATACACACACACACACACACACAAACACACACACATTTAGAAAACCATTTTTTCACCCTGAAATGGTCTTGAAACCTCCATGTTTCGCCTATCGAGTTTTCCATCTCGCACAACTATCCACCTTGATTCTCCATAAAGTAACTTGGCCTGAAAGTCATCAGAAAAGGGTGTCTTGTTTTTGTCATGTCTTTGTTGAGCGAGTCTTTGCTTCGCCCAATAAATTCTCTGCTACTTAGCTTCTATGTTTTGTGATTTATTTTGGGTGTTTTCACCTACACTCATAAATGACATAGTTAAAATGTCCATATAAATGTTTTATCTTCTTTTTATGATAGTTTAGATATTTTTCATGTGATTTATTTTGTTTTAAGTTAATAAGTGCTGATGCGAAACATGTAATTATGTCACTTATCACCTTCCAACTTTTATTGGGAGAGGAGGACTATTTTCAACTTGGCCTTAAATCTAGGCAAACTTCTCGCCCGATTCCTTGGAATCTTTCTGGGCCTTTTCAAGGGCCACCTTTAGCTTCACCTCAGAATTTTGGGACTTGTCACTTTCCTCAATAACAATCTTCAAGGGCTCCTGCTTTCAAGTCCACACTTCCCTCGTACTATACAAATACGTCTTTAGGTCATCGACAAACATGTTGCATAATCATGATTACTAAAGGGTACACGCTCCTACATCAAGTTTTTGAGAAAATGGATCTCCATCATGTTCGATAAGTATCGAGTCCCCATTTTACTCTTGGCCTTAAAATCATTGGGGAAGTCTTCAACAAAAGAGAGGTGAGCACTGACATATCTCTTTGGGTCATAATGCTTATCTCATAAGGACGGTTGGATTAAACCTTCATGTTAGGCTTGATGAGCCTTTGTGTGAATGCTCGACCCGCTATAGTCGTCATCCTCTACCTCATCCTTTAGGATAAGAGTTCCAATAGTCATGGCTCCATAATAATCCCCATTTTTTGAAAAATAAGGTTGGAGAAAGAGAGGAAGGGAATATACTTGTTTGTAAAGAAGACAAAAGCTGGAGAAATATTGAACGCAATTTAACCTATTAGAAACAAAGACTTTCGAATAGCATATGTGATGATGAGCTGAGGGTTTCCTTTTATAAATGCAGAAAACCTAGGTCACATAGGTTATGATTGCCTTCTGTTAGGTACACACAAATAATTACATAATGAACCGTCACATGTATCACGTCCTGACATGTATTTGTGAACCAAGGGTCTTTTAAGGAGAATCCATCATTAGAAGCATTTAACGTTATGTGTGTTTTCCTAGATCACACTTGAGGGAATCACCATATGCTTCTTTTGAGTGACTCGCCCTAGGTGATAATTGAGGGATTCACCATATACTTTGCTTGAGGGACCCTATTATACTTCACTAAAGAAAATTCGTAGAGCTTCGGGATGGCAATGCGTGTAACACCCCGTTTCCCAAAAATAAAATAAAACAATTAAAATCAACAATTATCAGAGTTTCTCCCACAACAGGATGTCACATTCCTCAACAAAATTCCACAAATCATTTAAAAAAAAAACTGATTTCCAATAAAATTTTCAACGGAAACAGAAGTAGTCTGTCATAACACATAATATATATATATATATATATATATATATATATATATATATATATATATATATATATATATATATATATATATATATATATATATATATATATATATATATATATATATATATATATATATATATATATATATATATATATATATATATATATATATATATATATATATATATATATATATATATACATCGTCGTCGTCAATCAACATCATAATAAACATCATGTACGGCCACTGCCCAAAATATACATCCATCAAACATCATTACTAATCCCACAAAATAAGATACGCCACGGGGGCACACATAATCATCAATAAACCATAAATACTCCCAAAAAGCCTCGGAGTTACGTATCAGAGCAATCCTATGACACCGCCACAATCCAAGCTAGCTATACACCTGGATTGTCTGTACTTCCGAAGAAGCACAGACCACAACAACAACAAAGGGGTGAGAATTCACGATCAAATATTAACGGTATAAATGTACATGAAATAAAGGCATAAACATATAAAACTTCATTTCATATACAACACATTCGGACCTACTGTCCCACCATCAACAATCACTACACACAACAATGCAACACATGCCACTCACACAATGATATGCGGTACCGACTCACAACAACGATGGGCACTGGGCCATCAACTCTCCACAAAGGAGCACACATCACCAATGGGCACTGGGCCATCAACCCTCCACACAGGGAGCACAACAACAATATCGATGGACACCTGGCCATCACCCTCTACACAGGGAGCACATCTCCGATGGTCACTGGGCCATCACCCTCCACACAGGGAGCACATCTCCGATGGTCACTAGGCCATCACCCCTCCACACAGGGAGCACAACAACAATATCGATGGGCACCTGGCCATGACCCTCCTCACAGGGAGCACACACACAACACGCCATGCATAACCCCAATGCACGCACACCACAACAATCACACATAATCAGCACACACGGTCCCCTGACCATATCTCATCATGTATCATACATATATCACGCATCACATACACGTCTAGCACACAAAGTGCAATCTGATCCTACTGATCCACTCCTCCCACAACATATAAACACAACGCGCACAAGCGTATCGATCCTACGGATCCATCACACATCTCATATAACACATATAACACATACACATCTTTACATATCACATAATCCACCGATTTTGTCCAATGCGATAAACACCGGCCACACAGCCCTCATAACCCTCAACATACTCTCAGCACTCAAATATCATCACAGCACATCAGATTGATCACACTCAGCGCCAACAGCTGTACACAGCTCTCAAAAACCAAAACCTGCTACGTTCGCTGCCTGCTCGCTACGCGAGCTCCCAGCGAACGCTCGCTGCACGTTCGCCTAGCGAATGAGTTAGCGAACACAAGAAATTAGCTACTGTTATTGCTCGCTACACGCTCGCTACGCGAGCTCCTAGCGAGTGCTCGCTATGCATCCGCCTAGCGATGGGCTAGCGAATGTCTGCGATTTCAGAAAAATAAGTTCTGCTGATTAGAACTCAGCAGCACTCTCACTCTCCAATTTCCACCAAAATCACACCAGCAACACTAGCTTGTCATCCTACAATTTTGATACTCAGCTAATACCCAATTCACCCGATGAAACATCAACTCTAGCCGATTAATCCATTTCCGACTCAGAGATACATTCAACTCCAAAACCCTCAATTCACCCAACAAACTCACTACAACACATGCAACAGTTTTCTAACACAATATTCACAATCAATACAGAACTATCAACATGCAAAGACATCAATTCATCATCAAATCATGGGGATTAGTGAATTCTCCTTTCTACCACATATTCATGTAAACTACCATTTTAATCGATCAATTCCCCCCTTACCTCGAATGCGATTCTGATGATGATCAAGCTTCCCAAATTCACAGCCTTGATGCACTCCTTGCTCTTGATCGTTCACTTGATCGAGCTCCTCCCTTCACAAACCGTGCGTGTTCTTCTCCTTCCAATTCTATTTTCCCCTAAAATGCCAATGTTACCCTCCATCCCAAATAATACACTTTTATTTTCTTTTTATTCCCAAAATAATAATAATTCTCATTTCCTTATTCCAAAAATAATATCTCTTATTTTCCTTTAATTCCAAACCACTTCCAATAATATTTAAATATAGCAATAATAACAATAATATTAATAATAATAGTATCAACACTATTAATCATCATATTATTATTATTATTATTAATCATATTTTTTAATATTTTGGAACTTAATTCTCCAACCAAATTCCACACATAACGCACCGAAAAACAAATAATACGAGAAAACCAAATAATTAAAAATGGGCATTACAATGCGCTATAATTAAATCATTTCTTCCTTTTTCAAGCCCTCGTGCTTGAGGGATTGTGGTGTGGGATAATTTATTTGGGCATGAATAAAGAATCACCTACGAAAGAGTACGCTTTTGGTAAAGCCTAACTAGGGACATAAAATGGGCTAGTAACACCACACAAGTTTAGGGGCCCAAAATAGTGTGGTCGCCCGAATGGAAGTGACTAGTTGCTCGATGAGATTTAAGTCTCCCACCCAGGATCTATCTCATTTATCACATGTGGATATAATAGTATAAATACATCAAGAAGGGAGGAAAATCATCTCCTTACAATCTATGGAGAATGAGCTTTCTAAGCCCTCACATTTTTTATGATGGAGTTATGGGATCTGTTCTTGGCTAAGGTTACAGGTCTCTATAAAAATCTCAAACCTCCAATGTTACAGACAAAGGCAAATACAAGGAGAAAAAAATTCAGGATCTCTCACAATCATTACGTGAGTAGGTCCTTGTTCTCTAACTATTGTATTTTAGCAACTGCAAATATGAATTACGTCTATAAAAAATGTGTTATTATGAAAAGGATATGAATATGAATATCGTCTATAAAGAATATGTTGTTATGAAGGAGATATGAATAACATTTATAAGTAATAGTGATTTTATGAGGATCAAATCCATTATTGTACAAATGTTATATTTTTTCCATAATAATTTATCTACCATTAGTCATCATGAAAACATTCTAATTACGAATCAGAAATGGATGAATGGAGTCTCGGTAGTTTACCTTTTTTTTTTTGTATAAGTGAAGGCCAAAGGCCCAAAAGAAAAAAAAAACACTACAGGAACACCTCCTTAGAGGTGGAAACCCCCAACTTAGACGCTTAATGAAACTAGGAGCAGAGGAAAGACAAGCCATATCTGAACTCAACCTACACCCAAACTTAGCCAACGCATCCGCACACATGTTAGTTTCTCTATACGTATGGGAGACAATGGCCTCATCAAAGCGACTTAACAAGCTTTCAATCTTTCTAAGCATCTCTAGCCCATCACTCCTGATGGATCTACCAAGACTGAGATCCCTAGCAATCTCGAAAGAATTTGTGTTTACTTCTACTCTCCTGAACCCTAAATCTAACGTAAACATCAACCCTTCAAGAATGACCCTTAATTCATCCATATAACTTGTAGTATCAAATTATTATATTGCCGAATTATGTGGTTCTTCATTAATATTAATTTTTTCCTCTCAAAATTATTACTTTTCTCTAAGAAATATGACTTGCTATAAACATTTCATAATTAAAACATAGTTCATTGCTTTAAAGAAAAATATTGGCATAAAAATCAACATATCACAAAACTTTCCGAATAATCAATCATAATTTTTTTATTAATTAAAAATAAAAATATTTTTTTTTCTCTCTTTCATTATCACCACCATCTCATGATTCAAATTAAAAAAATAAAAAAATTTAAAATTTCTCTCTCTCCCTATTGATTGTTTATAAAAATAATGTCTATGTACTAAAGTATAGTATGTTGTTATGCAAATATTTCTCATTTTTTGATCTACAAAAATGTACAACCTAAGAATTCTCAATCACCTTACATACACATGATTGCATCCTTACAATCTAAGCTGACCATGGTCCCTATTTTTTTCATCATTAGCTGAGTTGTAGGAAAGTTCATAAGCACTCTACTGTGGGACATACATAGATTCTCTTTTTATGTTTTACCCTTTTGCTCTTTAATCTCTATCACATAATATAGCCATGAATATACCTTTAATTTAAACAATCAACTTTTCTTTAGGACGAACCTTCCTACTCTGCATAAATCATACATGTGCGACAATGAGTATTGTCACATGACACTATTTGTAACGTATTCTTAAACTAACTCCAAAGCCAAGTAAACATCATAAACATGTGCTGAAGGACAAGAGCATCTTCCTTCCAAATTATACAACTTATTTTAATTCCATCACATCATAAAGAAGTAAAGTATATATATCAAGAGTGCATTCTTTCTAACTAAAACAACAACTTATAATTAATTAAAATTATGCACACTTTATGTATGCACTTGCCATATCTTAATAATAAATTATGTGAATGTTGCCAAAATCTGTGAGTACACAGTGTGAGATAAGTTTGAAGTGTACCTAAAATGCCAAATAAATTTGACTCATATTTTTCATACTTTGTTATTTAATATTTATCATATCACAATTTCAAAATGAATATAGACCACACGGGTTGCTTCCAGGAAGTGATGATTTTGGTTGAGACTCAGACAGACATCATTGTTGTTTTTCTCAAAAGAGTACTAATGTCTATGTTCTTAGAATCGGATATAGACAATTTTTATTGCTCCTCTATCTAACTCATGAAATAATGTCTTTGTACTAAAGTTCTACTCATTGTATCATCCATAATTATAGAGGGTTAAATGAATTGTTATCCTAACAATTATCATGTTTCATTCTTACTAAAAAAAAAAAAGAAAGAATTTTTTATTCTTACAAAATAATTGTTTGAACAGTTTTAATTTCTAATTTTCTATTATATGTATTTTTAATTATTTTTTCAAACATCTTTACATAATTATAGAAAGTTCATTTATGAAAAAAAATTTTGAAATTTGATTTAAAAATTTAGATTTTTCGTTAGTTATATCTTAAAATTTTAGCATTTATTTTTTCTAATAGAAAATAAATATATTATATATAAAAAATAATGTAAAAAAAGGAAAAGCAAGACAAAGGATTCAAAGAGTACGAGGAGTATTCGAAATCCAAAACACCAAACTAAAATAAATAAAAATAAGATTAAATTACAGTTTTGATCATCTGTTTATTTTAGTCGCAGATTTAGTCTCTTTATTTTCTTTTTAAACAATTTTGGTTTTCATCTCCAATTTTAATCTAAAAACGCTTATGTGGATTTTTTTTCAATAATGTGTCATATTTTGTATGTCAGGTCATTTATAAGTAACAGAAAAATAATTATTTAATTTTAATATTATATTTAAAATTGCAATCAGTCTTCGTTGCCCTACCTCGATTTCCTTTCTCTGAGTCTTCGTTGTCAATCCTTCTCTTCTCTTCGTTTTAGAGCGTCATCCCTTCTATTAATTTCAAATCGCCATCTTTGCTTTTGTTTAAATCGATACTTGCATTTCAAGTTGTAATGGGTTTCAAGTATGTACAAATATCAAATTCTTCTTCTGATTCTAGGAAGAGAATGATGGATTGTTGTTGTGAATTGGATTCACCACTTGTGAACGGGGACATCTCAGAATTCAGGGTGGAGGTTTTATACTTGTGGATTGTACAAGGTACATCTAAATTCCTAATTGTTAGTTTGTAGATTCATCTTCTAAAATCAAAAATTTATGGGTAATCTCTAACTTTCACGTTTTTTGTTGTTGTATTTTTTAGCTATAGGGAAGGAAAAGAGGTTCATATTTTTATTGGTATGATGAGCGAATTCCAAACCGTTCACACTAAGTGATTAACTCACTTTTGAAGAAAGTTTATGAATTGAAGAAGAATGATGGTTTAACTAAGAAGATTGATGACGACTTCAAAAAAAAGATCAAGATTTTAGTTATTTCTTTGGTTTTGTCTTGGGTTTTAATCATCCTATTAATCACAAAAAATTTGATTGGATAATATAATTATGTTGAATAAATTATGATGATGTTATAGTAATGTTACTATCATTGTATTGTAATAAAGATTTGTTGTAATGTTAGTGTAATTTTAATGAGGTTGTTTTGTAAACTTAATGTATAATGAGGTTAAGTTGTAATTTCAATGTTATTTGAATGAAGTTATGTCGTTACGAGGTTGTGTTATTTTGTATATTCTGTTTCTGTTAACCGACATAAAACAATATTATTTTGTCATTTTACTGACATAAAAAATATGTTAACTAATGTATAGTGTTACTCTCATTTTAATGAGGTAATTTTGTAAATTCATTGTATATTATGAAGTACTTGTTATAAGACATACATAATAAGTGAGAAAACACTAATATTTCATTAATAATGGATCAATTACAACAATTTATAGGTTTTACAATAAACATGTGATCCATTACACAAAAAGTCATGCAAGATATTCACTTAACTTGTTTCTAAAGTAGTCAAACCATTACAAACAAAAAAAAGACATTTTACACCATTTTCAATCAATTGGTTTCTTATGTTTGTGATGCTTGTGATCCTTGCGCCAACACAATGGGTAATTCTTTGGTTAATGCCTGCCTTTGCTTTTTAGCCTTGTTAGTCTTGTTACTACCTTTTGCTAATTGTCGATTTGCCACTTTTTTTCCTTTGCAAGTTCTCGAATCGTGCCCTAAACTCCCTCAACTTTTACACTTAACCGTTGTCAAATTCCTTGGTAGTAAATTACTTGAAGTTGGTTCATCATTGGCCCTGTTTCTTTTCTTCTTAGGTCTACCCATAGTTCTTCTCGTAACAGGTGGATCAATTATTTCCCCATTAGTTTCATACCAGAGTCTTGGTTCATTATATGGCAGCAAAATATTTACTAATTAGTTGCAAAGAAGCTTGATTTCTGAAACACTATGAAATACAGTTCAAATAATGCAACATATACATCAACTCAATTCAAATAATGAAGTTTAGTAACATATACATCAGTTCAACAACATATACTTCAGTTTCGATACATAAGATGCACCAACTCAGTTTCAATAAACAAGTAACATAAGCATCATATGCATCAATTTAGTTTAGTTTAGGTTATTATGCATCAATTTAGTTCAGTTGAGTCGAGTTCAGTATGCACCATAAGCACCATAGGCATGTATCGGTTTAGTTCAGTTGAGTTTAATATGCACCAATTCAATTTCAATACACAAGTAACATAAGCACCATATGCATCAATTCAATTCAGTTGAGGTTATTATGCATCAATTATGTTTAGTTTAGTTGATTTTAGTATGCACCATAAACACCATATGTATGCATTAGTTTAGTTCAGTTGAGTTCAGTATGCACCAATACACTTTTAATACACAAGTAAGATAAACACCATATGCATCATTTCAGTTCAGTTGAGGTCATTAATAATTAATTTAGTTCAGTTGACTCGATTTCAGTATGCACTATAAGCACCATAGGTATGCATTAGTTTAGTTTAGTTGAGTTCAGTACGCATCAATTTAGTTCTAATACACAAGTTACATGAGCACCATATGCATCAATTCAGTTCATCTGAGGTTATTATGCATAAATTCAGTTTAGTTAAGTCGAGTTTAGTATCCACCATAAGCACCATAGGTATGCATCAGTTTAGTTCAGTTGAGTTCAGTATGCACCAATTCAGTTTTAATACATAAGTAACATAAGCACCATATGCTTTTTTAACACAAATCTAGCGCATATAATTATTGCAATCATGACTTTGGAAGATATACACTAAGAAAAATGCATGATACTTATGCTATAGTCTATGTTCAGTTCAATTTAGATACATTTTTAACACGTAATGCATATGCATGAGTCCACAAGTAATGCATCAATTCACACTATTTTATTTGATCTGCTTCAGACATACTTATAATATGTTGGCACAAAAGGATCTACTTCAACTTTGTTGTGTAAAATACAAACAATAGCATGAACACATGTTATGCCACTCATAGCCCATTTACGACAAATGCGATAATGTCTTGTAAATTCACCTCGAAATTTTAAATACCATTGGTCACACTAAAGATGTTGAATGCATCATCTCCATTCCAAGTTAGTGTCCAACCACTGACTGCCCGCTTTAACCATTATATTACTCGTTCTACCTTAGGAAAAACTGTGCCTCTGAATTGAGTCATGAGATTCTTTTGCTTCACTATCCAAATTGTAATGTAATGCTTTAAAACTTCGCACAAAGTGATGATGGGCTTGTCTCTGTACTATAATATAGCCATGTTGAATGCCTCACACACGTTATTTACCTGTAAATCACATTGGTTGTCAGTGTGGGATACAGACATAGTCCACATGGGAGGTGGAGTTTCCATCATGTCTTTCCCTAAATATTTATTGATATCCTTAAACTTGAGATACTTATGTTCATCACATTCATCTTCACTTCCTTGGGGAGTATCAAGGTTATTTGATTCAACGTCATGGGATTCT